GTCTGGTCTTACTGGATCTCACTTTCCATTTGGAAGTGGCTTCCATCCCAGATACCAGCCTGTCCCCTGGCCTGTCCTGTAACCTGCAAGGGCTTTTGAGCTGCCCCATGGTGGCCTCTGCTGGCCTGGTGCTGCTTGTCTCTGACCCCAGGTACATGTTACATTGGCAGGGCACGCTGGAGCTGGCAGATTTTCCTCTGCAGAAGGGCTCCGTGGAGCTCCTCAAGCAGAAATGGGAGTCTGCAACTGCTAGAAGACCTGGCCCGATGCTCCAGCGCTCACCAACCCCACAGTCCTTGGTGCCGGGTAAGATCAGCTGCTTCAGTGCCATGGAGAAAGTGTCAACAGAGAGCAGGAGGATGGATGTGTTCAAGGAGGAGAGCCTAGGTGCCCCTCAGCAGATCGAGGACTTCCCCATCACTGTGGAGGAGCTGCGGAGCCGCTTTGAGGCCCTGGGTGGCAAGAAGGTAAGTGCCTGGGCTGGGTGGACACCTTGAGGGAATGGAGATGGCCCAAGGGCTGCAAAGCAGTTTCCCCAGCCTTATTCCACTCCTCTCTTGTGCCCCACTGGGGCTGGGCAGCCCCAGCTCCCATGGATGTCCTGTGGACAATTTGGTTCATCATAATACCAAGTGTTCTACAGCTTTCCTTATTCCACAATGTTATTGGCCTGGTTAATTTTAATGGTTGCCAACTGGCACTGTCTGCCAACCTGTCAGGTAAGTTAGTGCACAATTGTGTGTGGTTGGTACTTTTTTTAGGGGGGAACTAAAACCGGATACTGTGGCCTAAGAGAAGAATTCCCAAATGAAACTATTTACAAACACTCTAAAACTTTCAGAAGCAATTGCTTCTGTTTTGTAGAACAATATTGACTCCCTATCAACTGAGAAACCTGCTGTCACTTCAGCCATTGGTTTTTACTGGCATAAAATTGCAACCTTCATTTGACATCAAATTTTTCTCTGAGAAATGTTTGTGATTTCTTTGATCTACCTTGGTTGAAGCTAGGCATTTTTTAAGCTTAAAAAATGCTTCAGAGAGGTATAGGATACCAAAAAGGTCATCAGTAATTTTAATTAGGGCAACTTCATTTGTCTTTGTGGCTTAAAAGTCTTTCACCATGCTTTACTACTTCTACATGAAAATTAAAATACCCCTGCAGGTTTTGGTTGCTGATGGAATATTTTATACCTTCCACATTTTAATTCCTCCCTCCTTCTTCAGGTTAAAAAAACTATATATACATGAATTTTAAAATCCTCTTGGAGTATTTTTTTACCCTGCTTCTCAATGAAAGATATACTAAAACTTGATGTCACAACTCTTTGTTCTACCATTTTCTAACTGCTCCAGGATAACCCTGTCAGTCCACACAATCAGCCATTTACCTTTCTAGTTTTAATGCCTAGAGGGATTCAAACATAACTTTCTGGCCTAGAAACTACAGCTCAGAATAATGCATGCTGACCATGATATAATTAATACAGAAAATCCTTTTAAAATACATTAGAAAGTTTTTTCTAATGTGAAAAGTGAAATAAAAATCCATATGATTCATTAAAAATCTTTCATTTGCTTTAGATGCACAGCACAAGAAGTGGCAGGTACCAATAAAACAAAAGTTAAAATCTCATGGGATTACTGAGCACTTTAAAGACCATATAAAATAGTCTCAGACTGCTGCTAAGTGGAATAGTCAAGGCAGAGACCTTTTTAGTTGATATAACTTAGTCATTTTTTGGTAACAACAAAGCATACTTTTTTTCCTACATTCATTATTGCAGACATGATTATTCTTGTAGAAGCCAATAAGTTCTTTTTAAATCATATTGATACGAATAGCTCCTTATTGAGTGAGAAAGAGTAATTTTTTTCTTAAACAGCATTCTTCAACTTTACAGGAAAGCGGACCTTTATTTAAACAATAATTACCTAGAAAGTAAGAGAAGTCCTTCCTCCCAGTCTCAGAACTGTTACACCAATTAAATATTACTTCATCAGGTTTTCTTTGCAAAATTTGCTGCAGCTTCATCTGCAAATATTTTGAATTCACATACAATTAGATCTGTCTATTAACATTATTATTTTACTAATTAACTTTATAAACATTATTTCCAAGTATATCTCTTTCTGCTAGGTGTTTCTCCAAGATAAAAATTTATCTTTTGGGATGCAGATGGGAAGCCAAGGCTCAAAGAAAAGACTGGGAGGTGGGGGGAAAAGAGTCAAGGAAGTGTTATTTGCCTTGTCCAGATCATTTATTTACCGAAAGTGCTGCATATGAAGACCCCTACTAAAAATATTTTTTTCTCTGGACAGCCAGAAGTAGAAACAGAGCATGCTTTCTTGCTAAATCACTGAAACTTATGCAGAGTTGCAAGAATTCCAACTGTTAAGATCAATATCTTTCAAAAAAAACAACACTGAAAACCAGATGATGTTTATAAAGTGGCAAGTGACATGCAGCGGAAAAGCACGAGGCACAGGCCCTTTTCAGAATTCAAGTGGAAAAGCTTGAACTCTTATCCTGTTCCAGTAGCTGTCTTAGGAAATAAGATGTATATTGCCTGTGAGGTTTTATTTCCTTGGCATTGTAAGACATCTTAAAGTTTCCAATTTACAAGCAATGTGAAATGTAAGAAAATGGAATTCTGCATCATTGAATGCCTTCACAATGTAAGCATTACTTCAACACTTTTACATAAAAAGAATAATAGGAAAATGAGTCTACAAAAAAGGCATTCATATCAAGAATTTCTGATGCTGAAGAAGTCTGTATATTTAAGCTCAGGTCATTCACTTACAAACCTTGGAAACACACCAAGACCAGGACTGACAAAGTTTTTTAAAAAGTGTGAATTGCATTGGTATATGAGATGTGTGAAAGGACAGATTATTTCAGTAATATGTAAAGTTGAAGCCAAACTGATGCTGGTGCTACAAATGGCATCAACATCTATGTCCAAGATCTAATGGCACATAAATTATGTAGAAATTACTGATTCTTCCACTGGTAACAGTGAATAATCATGAAAAAAATAAAATAATGGGAGGTAAATAAGATCCACAGCAATCTCAGGCTTTGAATGTATGGGCTTTGTATCATATTTTAAATTAGTATATCAAACATATTTATGGGTGCCTATTAAGCATTTTATGTGTATTCAGTCAATGATAAGGACCTTAGATGTTAGAGGTGACAAAGGCATTTATTAATACTGATGAATGTTAAGTATTTTAGTAGTTAAATATTATACCATTTCACCTAGAGCGATAGAGGTTAGAACACAGAAATACCTATATGTAAAATAAAGTCAAGGCCATAGAAATCAGAGAGGAATTTTTAAAATTTAAACAGAATATCTTTTAAGGCTCAGTGTCAGTTAGCTATATTACAGTAACCCAATGCAAAAATGAACATGCTCATTAGCCTTATGCTCAGAAAAAGACTGCCAACTCTTGTAACCTTGCTTAAATGCACTATCTCTTGACTAATCAGACTTACAAAACCTGAGCCCATCTTACTACATTATTCCAGAGGAAGAATAGATTTTATTATAAGGCAAAATACCACTGATTAAAAATCCTGAAACCTCTCAGTCAGGTGGCATTTCCGTTGCAGTGCTGTTATTGGTATATGTACAAAATCCATAGAGAAAAATCAGGGCAAATAAATAATGTTAAACCATTAAGTGACTTCTAAATAATTAGATCAGTCATATAAAGCACCATCTCCTGGTTCAAAAGTGAAAGATATTACTGTAGGCAGCTGCAAATGTATTTAGACTTACAGCATATTTCCCTTCCTGGTGGCTACATGCTGAACAATGCCCATTCCTAATTATTTGAGTGGAATTAACACTTCAAAAATGCAATAAGATTAATAAATAAATAAATAATAATTAAAAAAATAGAGTAAATAGAGTTGGAAGCTAAGTTTAGTAAGTTTAAAGCTAAACCATTTGGTAAAATCAAATTACTTTTGCCTGAGTTTATCCAAGTGGAACTTGGATGTATTTCCTTCTTAGGAGTATTAATAAGTTAATAATTGTGTCTGTTGCTGGAGCTTTTTAATGGAACACTATAGAATCAGGCCTGTCCATGTTTTTCCAATGTTTGGAAATAAACTGATGTCCCACTCTGATTAATTGAAAAGTATTCTTCCCTTTCCTATACGGAAAAACCTGTTTTATAGGAAGTAATCATATATTAAAGCATCAATTTACTGTACAGATTTATCACTCCCATGAAACAATTACTTTAATTTATTAGCACTCAAAGGCATGGGAATGTTAAAGCAACCAAGGCCTGTGTTTGCTGGAAAGTGATTTGTATATTTTTTCTTAAAATGTGTTAAAGCATTCCAACTGAGAAAGTAATTTCATGCTTAGCTTTTTAGTGAAAACTATTCAAAGAACTCATTAAAACCATTCATTTATAAAATCTGGTATATGTTCATTAAACTGTGTCCTTTGCAGAAAACATACGAACCACTGCCAGAAAGTAAATGAAAGGAACAGATGTTTAATATAAAAGGTTAGACCTTCATTTAAATTGTTTAAACAAGCAGCATCTTTTTTTCCCTTAGCACTCTCAGAAATGTTTATATTAATTTAGCAAGCCATGTAATGCAGAAAAGAATGGAAACCCTGTGACAACTGTAGGTCAGTTTTGTACTCTGAGCACTTGCATAATTTGTTATTTTTGTTATGGATGAATGAAAGCAAATAGTGAGGAGTGCATGGGATGGCCAAATGATTAACCTTGCTGAAAAGCTTGATATTGCAGGGAGTGCTGTATCATCAGCTTCCTGGATTTTGGCTTCTGCTCTTTCAAGTCTTTTTGTGACATAATGTATTCCTCTTCTTTGTATCCATGAACTTTTTTCTAATGGCAAAAGATTCCACAACAAGAACAGGCCACCTTGTCTATGGGATTTGAATTGTAGATCATAAAGAACAGGTTTTGGTAAAAATTTTATTGTTGAATCTTTTGTGGAGTATAGTCAGCTAATAGAATTAAACTCTACTTCCTAGGATGACTGACTTTCTCAGGAAGGCAGCCTAAAAATCTGAAAACTTTTTTCTGAACAGGGAAGCATTTAAATGGAAGCATTTAAAAATCACAAAGCATTTTTCCTCTGCAAAATTAAGTCCAACTTTTTTTTTATGCTGTTTAATACAAGCATATTTTCATCATTACATGGTAACAGCTACCCCTAAAAAGTTGCAGATATGTCAGGTACTGTAAAAGTTTATAAAGTTATGGTGGTGCGATTCATCCTCCTGCCTCCTTTGGAGCGACAAGCCAACATAAGAGAAATGTGGATTGTGAAAGGCAGAGGCCCAGTACATTAGAGTGTCTTTTTAGTGCCTGACTCTTGCTTTCCCCATGCATTTCAAAAAGCGGGAGGCTAGAACATTAAGGCACCCCCTTGATCTGTCTGGCTGCTGTGCTCCCTCTT